CCCCAAAACCCCAAAACCCCAAAACCCCAAAACCCCATATTTAGTCTATGCATTAAAAAGTTTCAATGATATTTTAAGTAAATTTAAGAATCTGTTGATAATAACATTATGCTTAGGAATATTTATTACGATAATCACATTTTTTTGAGGCTGTTTAACTTGGCTTCAAAGTCGTCAATATTGTCCATTCCTCCTGAACCTGCAGTTCCATTTCCTGGACCTCCATATGCACCTCCATTATTATCTTATGGCATAAAATTCTGAGGTTGCAATGATGTATCATATTGATAATTATAGGAGGGTTAGCCCAAAGCAGGTGGTTGGTTGAATTGATTAGCTGGCTAGAATCCAGGGTATTAGCCTGGGCCAGATGGAGGCATATACTAAGGAAGGCCTTGCATGTAGCTTGGAGGCATTCCACCACCAGGTGGTAGGAAGGCTGGAGGTTGGGAGTTTCCCATATCAGGAGGAGGGAAATTAGGAGGAGGTTGGAACTATTAATTCTAAATAGGTGGTGGGTTGTAAACAGGGGGGATTGGATGATGATTTCCGCTGTTTCCTTGAGGATTAGGCATACCTTTGCGATCAATGTAATCATTCAAACATTACTAGGCTTCCATTGATGGCTTGTAATCGATATTCCTTTCCTTAGCAAGCTCGACTAGTCTCTTGATTTTCTCTCCTTCTTCAGGAATCTTAATGTTAATCTGAGCTACAATCTATTCAAATGGGTTACTCAGAAATCGTTTTAAACTTACAACTTTGTTCACGCACTCTTCGTCCTTATCAGCACTGATCAAGAATTACTTTCCAAGCAATTTGCCTAATTATTGTCTGACTTAAACTAACTCATCGATCTCTAGTCTGATCGAAGCATAGCACAGAGTTCTAAAAGTTTAGTCCATGTCCTTAGGTGGACCAAATTTTTCAATAGTCTTAAGTCTTCCATTCAATTAATCGCACATAATTGAAACTATATCAAAGCATGGAATCAGATTCTCTTCATTGATTAATGTCTCCGCCTATTGAATACTGTGAGTATTTGATAAATGTATGTATAAGAGAGATAATTAGAATTTGAGCATTAAAATTACCCAAATCTTAGCATTCATTTCATTGCCTGCTTCTAAATGCTTGCAAATGTCGTCTTTTTTCTTTGCAATAGCATTTAGCTTTTTACCTCTGTGGATATTAATCCTGCTAATCGATTATCGAAGCAATGAAGCCCTAATATTTATTATTAAGAGGCATTATAATTTAAATAATGAGTTTACATTTTGACAGTGTTTAACTTTCCTTGTTCAGCTCCCATTATTATATTCGGATGAAATATTAAATTGCAATTTTTAATCAAAAAAGATTTAACATAATATATCTAGCTAATTCGATATTGAGGGGTTTTGGGGTTTTGGGG